GGCTACAACATAGGCAAAAAAGAGACAAATGGCCGGAGCCCGCGCGCCGACATCGAAGAGCTTCTAATAGTTTACGCTCTTCGTAAGGCAACAAGGTCATTCTTTTTGTTGCCGTGAAGGGCTTTGGCAATTTTCTAGCATTTTCCTCGCACAGGCGACCTGCCATTCCAGTTTCGCACTTGGTCGTGTGCACCTTCACCTTTTACTGACGCCCGCCCTTCTCACCTTCCATCTCGCGTCGCGTTTCAAAGAGGCCACGGATTCACCAGTAACATCACAGGTGCTACATGAAGGAGATGTAAAGGATGATGACATGATATGTCAGTACAGCCACCACGCGTTAGTTCTTCACCAATGCAGACTCGGGTACATCAATCGTCGCATGCCAACGCCGAATTGGTGATCATGAGACAATAAGTGGGGTGGCTGAGGTTATTCCCCCTTCGCCGACCGAGGGTGTCAACTGGCTCATGATCATCATTGCGCGCTCTGACTCTCTTTGCGGTTCTCTAAGCGTTTAGCAATGCCGTAGCTTGCATTCGCAATCTCGAGGGAGTTGACAAGCAGACAAGATGGCAAATTCGCGATGAGCCGAAAACATGCTTCTATGCCCCCCCAAGAGCGCTTTAATTTTCTAGGTTGCCCAAAAATCCACTACTACGGCTTTGCAAGAAAATAATAGCTATAGAAACCTTGCTAGTGCTTGCTGATTCAATTTGCCGCGTGACTCTCCTTCGGCACCTGACTTCTCAGAGGCTTTGCTGGATGGCCTCAACCGCTTCTCAATCACTAGCTGCTGTAGAGCTAGACATGGTGTGCCATCGGGCTGATTAGAGTCTAGATCGTGCTGTCAGGAAGGGACGTGTCGCAATGCAAGTTAGCCAGCTTGACTACAAAGTGGCCATGACTCGACGGGCAGACGCTCAACAAAGGTTCTTGCCGAACGGTACGTCCTTCTCGCGTTCTGAACGGACTGATTTCGAACTGAGATACAGATACCAAGCGCTCGCGATGGGCAAGTTCAGACGAAAGTCTTGGCACAGCCACCGCACTATACCGCTAAGAACGCCCGTCCTCATCCAGCCTCCGAATGCCTCTTATTGCGAAGCTTTCTAGATTTTGTGAGACACAGGACAAGGTGTCCTGATCTACTGAAAGGTCACATGGGTCTTGTTTGTATGCGCCAAACATTACCCTCGAGACGGCTCGCGAACTAGGTTCGCAGGTTGCCGACGTATCGTCTGCGACCTGCTGGATTGAGAGCAGTATCGATATTCTGTGCAGCCGACAGCAGCTCTTGACACAAATTGAGCCGCATTAACCAGAATTTGAGCCCTGGCAAACTTGCGAAGTATTTCAACAAGACGTGATTCACGTGCGGAGCTGCTTTTCTGAACTTTCCAAAGACTCATGCTCCCACCTCTGTGCTCCGACTGAAACGTCAAACACCTACTCTACGCCACCCACCAAAAGGGTCCTTTTTTTACCAGGGACAGCCGACCTCGCTTAGATAAAACCAAGACCGCTGATAGATCTGGCTCTGACGCATCTTCTGGTAGCCAGTTGAAGCAAATGTTGGGACAAATCCGAGGAGTGGCGTCTGTATAGAGGGGGACCCAGCTCTGTCTTGCAGACGCAGTACGCGACATTTTAGAATCATCACAAATAAAGGTTACCACCAATTGTTGACTGGGAAAATTAGCCGTGGCTGCAGAGCCTTTGCGTTCG